GAGTTAACAAAGTTGGATCTATAAAAAGTGAGACTGCAGAATTAACAAATGAATAATAAGGAGATAGCAAATGAATGGAAGAAGTATTTTGTATTGGTCTCCAGCAGAGAAGACACAAATAACATCCCACAAGTAGGGGAGGGCAGGGTACGGGTTATGATGTTACCTCTGAACTATTAATCCAGAGATCCAGGTAATGTTCTGGGGATCTGATTTTGAATGCCGCCATGGTGGAATTTGAATGCAATAAAAACCTGGAGTTAAGAGATGAATGATGACCATGAAACCATTGTTGATTGTTGGAAAAACAACATATGGTCCACTCATGTCCTTTTAGAGGAGGAAATTGGTGTCCTTGCCTGGCCTAGCCTACATGTACTCAGGTCCTGTGTACCAGCTGGCAGGAATATTTACAGACATCTTTAACCTCTCATGACTACGATCCAAAGTCCCCATCTGTTTCAAGAAGACCTGCATCATCCCAGTGACAAAGAAAAGTTATTCAGCATGCCTCAATGACCACTACCCATCAGCTCTGACCATCATAATTATGAAGTGCTTTGAGAGGTTGATCATGGCTCACATCAACTCCAAATTGCCTTGATCCTTAGCAATTTGCCTACCAGCGCAACATGTCCACAGCAGATGCCATCTCCCTTGCCTTACACTCATCCCTGGAACATCTGGATAACAAGGATACCTATGTCAGGCTCCTACTTATTGACTACAGTTCCACCTCCAACACCATAATTTCAAACAAACTTATCTCTAAACTCTGAGACCTCAGTCTCTGCTCCCCTCTCTGTAACTGAATCTTTTACTTCCTGACCCAAAGATGACAATCAGTAAGACTAGGCAACAACACCTCCTCCACCATAATCTTCAACACTGGTGCCCTGTGAGGCTGCGTACTCAGCCCCCTACTATACTCCTTATACACTCACGACAGTGTGGGTAATTCTGCCCCAAATCCATTTACAAGTTTGCTGATGACACCACTGTTATAGGTCAGATCTCAAACCATGACGAGGCAGAATACAAAGAAAGACTGAGTGCTTAGTGGCATGGTGTAAAGACAACCAGCAATCTCTCCATCAACATCAGTAAAACGAAAGAGCTGGGCATTTACTTCAGGGAGCAGAGTGGAGGATACACCCCTGTCTGTATCAATAGTGCTGAGGCGGAGATGATCAAGAGCATCAAGTTCCTGGGAGTGATGATCATCAACAATCTGTCCTAGTCCATCCACATTGACACAACAGTCAAGAAAGCACAAAAACGTCTCTACTTCCTCAGGAGGCGAAGGAAAGTTGGCATGTCCTTGAGGACTCTTATCAATTTTTATAGGAAGCATCCTATCTGGAAGCATCACAGCATAGTATGGCAACTGCTCTTGCCATGACTGCAAGAAGCTACAGAGAGTTGTGAACACAGCCCAGTCCAACACGCTAACCAGCTTTCCATTCATTGACTCCATCTCTACCTCCCACTGCCTTGGGAAAACAACAAACATAATCAAAGACCCTCCTACCCCAGTTACAGTCTCTTCTACCCTCTTCCATTGAGCAGAACATATGAAAATTTGAATACACGTACAAATAGATTCAAGAACAGCTTCTTGCCCACTGTTATCAGACTTTTGAATGGAACTCTAAAATGTTAATTCTGATCTCTCTCTCTTCACCTTCCCTGTGGCTGAAACTCTGTATTATGCATTCTGTTCTGCTGCTCTTATGCACTTTGCATGATATAACCTGCCTGCATATCGCACAAAACAACACTTTTCACTGCATCTTGGTACTTGTAACAACAATAAATTAACCAACATGTGACTTTACTGCCCTTTGAGCAATTAGTGATGGCTTAGTCACTCCCCATGAATGATTAAAAAAAAGTGGAAGGGATGGAGAAATTTAAGAAAATTACAATCATCAGGGAGCTGGTACTGAATAAATAGTTGGAGCTGCAGGCTGACAAGTCTGCAGTTCTGTTGGACTTCAGCATATGGTCTTAAAAATGGTTCATGAGATTGTAGATTCATTCATTTTAATTTTCCCAAACTTCCTAGATCGAGGGATATTCCCATTGGATTGCTGTACAGCAAACGTAACTCCTTTATTTAGGAAAAGGAGGTGGAAAGCAAGAAATTACAGGTCAGTCATCTGTTACAGAGAAAATGTTAGAATGTATTATTAAAGAAGTTATAGCAGAGTACCTTGGTAAATTCAAGGTAAATTCGACAGAGTCGACATGGTTTTGTGAAAGGGAAATCATATTTCGTCAAACTATTAGAGTTCATTAAGGAGGTAACGCCCACCATCTATGGAGAGCCATCATAGTAAGAACTGCTGATCCTGGAGCCAGAGATAACACAGTGTGGAGCTGTACGAACACAACAGCTCAGGCAGCATCAGAGGAGCAGGAAAGTTGACGTTTCGGGTCGGGACCCTTCTTCAGAAATTGGCAAGATATAACAAGTGGTGTGGCAGAATCAACTATTTACAATTTATATTACTGGCTTAGATGAAGGAAGGTTTGGTAAGTTTAAAGAGGAATAAAGAGGCGACAATTGGATATGGATAGGTTAAGTGAGTGGCCAAGGATGTAGCAAATTAAGTATAATGTAGGAAAATGGAGTTGCCTATTTTGACAGGAAGAATAAAGAAGAAATATATTATCTCAAATGGTGAAAGATTGCAGAGTTCAGATACAGACAGCGATCTGGGAATCCTAGTGCTTGAATCACAAAGGGTTAAAATGCAGATACGCTAAATAATTAGGAAGGCTAATAGAATGTCATCCTTTATTGCAAAAACAATTGCATACAAAAGTAGGGAGGTTATATTTCAGTTACGGGTACTCGTCTCTGCATCTTGAATATTGTGCACAATATTGGTCACCTTATTTAAGGAAGAATGTAAATACTTTGGAAGCAGTTCAGAGAAGATTCTGAAATGTGAAATCTGGAACAAGTGATTGTCTTACGAGGAGAGGTTGGACAGGTGATGCTTATATCTTCTGGAGTAGGGGGTGACTTGATTGAAATAAGACCTTGAGGCAATATCATAGGGCAGATGGGGAGAGTGAACGTTTCCTTACATGGGAGAAGTTAGAACTAGTGGCCACTGCTTAGAAATCAGCAGTCACCCATTTAAAACAGAAATGAGGCTTCCATCCCCCACACCCTTGAGTGGTTTGTGAAGTTTGGGAATTCTCTTCCTGAAAGGATGGTGGAAGCAGAGACTTCAAATATTTTTAAGGCAGAGGCGGATAGATTCTTGTTAAATAAGAGCGTGAAATGTTATTGGGGTAGTTGGGAATGTAGATTTGAGGTTACAATCAGATCAGCCAAGATCTTATTGAACGGTGGAGCAGGAGAAAGGAGCTGAATAGCCTACTCTTGCTCTGACTTTGTTTGGTTGTGGCTCTGTTTTTGGGTGACGCGTCTGCCATAGTTGAATAGCTGTGGGTGTGTGGAAGGTCAGAGAGAGAGATAGATGTGACGTTGGCACGACGAGAAGGCAAGCACAGATCAGGCCGGGCATCTGGATGCTAGGCAGACAGTCATAGATATACACAGTATGGAAACAGACCCTTCGGTTCAACTTGTCCGTGTCGACCAGATATCCTATATAAATCCAGTCCCATTTGCCAGCATTTGGCCCAAAGCCCTCTAAACTCTTTCTATTCATATACACATCCAGATGCCTTTTAAATGATGCAATCATACCAGCCTCTAATTCTTCCTCTGGCAGCTCATTCCATATATGCACCACCTTCTGAGCGAAAAGTCTGCCCCTAGGTCCCTTTTATATCTTTCCCCTCTCACCTTAAACATATGCCCTCTAGTTTTGGACTTCCCAACCCCGGGGAAAAGACCTATTTACCCTATCCATGTCCCTCATGATTTTATAAACATCTGTAAGGTCACCCAGCCTCCGATGCTCCAGGGAAAATAGCCCCAGCCTATCCCTAAAGCTCAAATCCTACAACCCTGGCAACATCCTTATAAATCTTTTCTGAACCCTTTTCTAGTTTGACAATATCTTTCCTATAGGAGGGAGACCAGAATTGCACTCAACTCTAAAAGTGGCCAAACCAATGTCCTGTACAGCCGCAATATGACCTCCCAATGCCTGTACACAATGCACCGACCAATAACAGCAAGCATCCCAAATGCCTTCTTCATTGTCCTATCTATATGTGACTCTAATTTCAAGGAACTATGGACCTGCACTCCGATGTCTCTTTGTTCAGCAACACTCCCCAGGACCTTACCATTAAGTGTATAAGTCCTGTCCTGATTTGCCTTTCCAAAATGCAGCACCTCACATTTATCTAAATTAAACTCAGTGTAAGTGCTAGGAATGGTGTGGGGTAAGTGAATTAGTGTGTGATAAATTGGGCAGAGTGAGTGGCTATTGGTCTGGCATAACGTGAGAATTTGTTGTCAGAGAGCTTTACAATGCATCGTTGCTCATCAGTGGGATAATACTGTGTATTCAAGTCCCACGTTACAATCTCCCACTCACGTTTCACATTGTACCTTATAAATTCATAAGTTCATAAGATATAGGGACAGAATTAAGCCATTCAGCCCATCGAAGTCTGCTCCGCCATTCGTTCATTGCTGACATACTCCTCACCCCCATAATCCTTCAACCCATTACCAAATAAAAATCTGTCCAATTCCTCCTTAAATGTACTTTGATGTAGCAAATTCCACAGATTCACAAACCTTTGGGAGAAATAATTTCTCCTCCACTCTGTTTTAAACTTGCTACCCTTTATCCTAAAACTATGACCCCTCATTCTAGCCCCGCAACAGGAAGCATCCACTCCACATCTATTTTATCCATACCTTTTATCATCTTGATTACCTCAATTTGATCTCTCCTCATTCTTCTAAATTTCAGAGAGTACAGGCCTAAACCATTCAATCTCTCTTCATACGACAAACCCCTCATCTCTGGGATCAATTTAGTGAATCTCCTCTGAACTTCCTCCAATGCCACTGCATCTTTCCTCAAAGAAGGGGACCAAAACTGTGCATATTACTCCAGGTGAGGTCTCACCAATGCTTTGTATAGTTGCAACAATACTTCCTTACCTTTATGTTCTATTCTTCAGTTATAAAAGCCAACATTCCATTCACTTTCTTTATTATCTACTATACCTGCATGCTGGTTTTCTGTGACTCATGAATGAGGACACCCAGATCCCTCTGCACTGGAGCACCCCAAAGTCTCTCCCCATTTAGATAGTAGGTCACCTTCCCATTTTACTGACCAAAATGCATGACCTCACACTTATCCACATTAAACTCCAGCTGCCACATTTTGGCCCACTCCTAACCTATGTATATCCATTTGTAATGTTCTTGTTTCCTCATCACAATTTATCATCCCATATATTTTTGTATTATCCGCAAATTTGGCTACAGAGTTTTCTATCCCTGTATCCAAGTCATTAATGTGGATTGTAAATAGCTGGAGTCCAAGGACCGAACCCTGTGGCACTCCACTTGTTACTACTTGTCATCCAGAAAAGTACCCATTTATCCCGACTCTCTGTCTTCTGTCCATCAGTCAGTCACCTATCCAAGCTAATAAATTACCCCTAATCCTACATGATCCAACCTTGTGGATTGACCTTTTATGCGGTACCATATCAAACACCTTCCGGAAGTCCAGATATATTACATCTACAGGATCCCCATTATCCACTTTACTTGTTACATCTTCGAAGAACTATAGCAAATTAGTCAAACATGATTTGCCATTCATAAAACCATGCTGACTCTAATGGATAGCGTTTCGACTTTCCGAATATCTTGATATTGCTTCCTTGATAATTAATTCTAACACTTTCCCAACAACAGATGTTAAACTAACTGGTCTGTAATTTCCCACATATTGCCTCCCTCCATTTTTGAATAAGGGCATTACATTAGCATTTTTCCAATCCACTGGAACCTTTCCGTGTTCAGGGAATTTTGGAATATTGTAACCAATCCACTATCTCTGCCACCACTTCCTTTAATACCTAGGATGTAGGCCATCAGGCCGAGGGGACTTGTCTGCCCTCAATCCTAATAGTTTGCTGAGTACCTTTTCCCTACTGATATTGATTGTTCTAAGTTCTACCCTTTCTATTGCCTCTGACTTGCCCGTTCCAATAGGAATGGTACTGTTGTCCTCCAACATGAAAACTGAGGCAAAGTATTGATTTAGCATTTCTGCCATTTCAGTGTTTCCCACTTTTAACTCTCCGGTTTCATCTTCCAAGGGACCAACATTCACCTTAGCGGCTGTCTTCCCTTTTATATATCTATAGAAGCTTCTGCTATTCTTTTTGATATTTTGTGCTAGTTTTCTTTCATAATTTACCTTAGCTCTTTTTATTAATGTTTTTAGCATCCTTTTGTTTATGTTTGAAAATTTCCCAATCTTCCAGCCTGCCACTGGCCTTTGCAATATGACATGACTTAGTTTTTGACTTTATATTGTCTTTGACCTCCTTGTTTAGCCATGGATTTTTTTTACCGCCCCCTTACTATCTTTCTTCTTCCCTAGGATATATTTTAGTTGTGAAGAATTGAGTAGCTCCTTAAACAACTGCCACTGCTCATCCGCTACCTTACCTTTTAGCTTTCCTGCCCAATGTACGCAGGCCAAATCTGACCTCATGCCTATGTAATTCCCTTTGTTTAATTCCGGAATACTACTGTGGGATTGCAGTTTTTTTCCCTAAAACTGAATTTTGAATTCTATGGTCACTACTCTCTTAATATGATGTCATCAATTAATCCCTTCTCATTACACAATACCAAATCCAGAGTAGCCTGCTCCCTGGTTGGTTCCACAACGTACTGCTCCAAGAAACACAATCTCTAATACATTCAATGAACTCTGCCTCCAGGCTGCCCTTGCCAATTTGATTCTTCCAATCTATGTACATGTTAAAATCATCCACTGATTATTGCTGTACCTTTGTTGCAAGTCTCAAATATTTCCTGGTTTATACTGTGCCCCACTGCAGAACTAGTGTTTGGAGAACTATAGATCACTCCTACCAATTACTTCTTCCCTTTGCTATTTCTTATTTCTACCCTGACTGATTCCATGTCTTGATCTCCTGTGCTTATGTCATTTCTCATTATAGCACTGATCCCTTCCTTCACCAGCAAAGCTACACCACCTCCTTTTCCTTTCAGTCTATCCCTCCGAAATGCTGAGTACCCTTGGATGTTCGATTCCCAGACCCAATCAAAATAAACATCTGATTAAATGTTCACTCTGTTCAGTTTGAGTTCCACCAGAACAAATCAACTAAAGACTTTGTTACAGTCTTAGTGCAAAATGGAAGAAAAAACAGAATTCCAAAGTTGATGAGAGAGTGACTGCACTTGACATCAAAGTCTGATAGCATAGACACCAAAGTGGAGAGGATCAAGCAGAAAATATTCCAGTCGTTAGAATCATAATTGATGAAAATAAAAATCATTGTACTTTCTGGAAGACAAATCATCTCAGTTCTAGCAAAAGATTCAAACTTAGCTTTAATTCCACAATCTACTTCACTAATGAACATATGTACTGATTGTTGGTTCCTGTTCACATTTTTACTGATTTTAAGTTGATTAACTTGCCCCATAACAAATATGGATGATTACTGCTCATACTGAATTATTGATCGTCAAACCTGCTAATATTGATGATGGTAGATAACAGGCCAAACAGCAGCTGGATATATTGAATCCCAAGATAAGAAATGAACAGCTGACAACTATGCATCAGAAGTCTTATTAGAATTCAGTCAGTGAACATTTCCTTTTGATAGTTCTAAAGCCATTGGAATCAATCATTAAAAATACTAGTTTACTGAATCACAGGAACTGATTCAGTTTCTGTCTTGTGAACATTACAAACCACTGGCAACTGATATATACACATGCTGACGGTGATGGGGAATAACATTGATCAAAACTGAAAACCTTTCATTTCTCTGGGATAATTCTTTACTAAGTATAAAAGCTGTGCTCATCTGCTTGCATTAGTAAAGTTTCTCTTTACAGGGATAGTGGTTGGATTTTTCACTTGTTCAAAAAAAAAACTGCACGCTGTGTAATCTTTAGGATAATAGAATAGTTACAGCAAAGAAGGAGACCATTTGGTCCATCATGTCTGTATTGACTTTCTGAAGAAACACTTGACTCTCACTTACATGACTTTTCACTGTAGTGCTGCATATCTTTTCCTTTTGAGATAATCAACTTCCCTCTTGGAATGTTCTGTTTGAATCTACATCCACCATGCTCACAGCTAGTGCATTCCAGATCCTATTCACTCACTGTTTGAAAAAGCTTTTCTACATGTCGTCCATTCTTTGTTCTGTCAATGACCTTAAAACTGTGGTCCTTGATTCTTCCATCATTGGGGGTTACAAAATGTATGTTAGTTTTTCTCCACCTACTTTGTCCAGAGCCTCAAATTTTGAATACCTCTGTCAAGTCTGCTCTCAACCTTAGCTTCTACCAGGAAAATTGTCCCAACTTTTCTAATCCTTGCATGTAATTGAACTTACTCATCCCAGGACAATACTTGTAAATCTTTTTTGAACCCTCTGTAATGTCTTAACATCCTTCATAAAGTGTTATCCCCATAACTGAAAGCAATACTCTAATTGAGATCAAAGCAGTGATTTATGTTTGTCACGACTTCCGTTCTTTTGTATCTATGCCTCCATTTACATTGTCCAGGTCGTGTATGCTTTATTAAATAGTCTCCCAACCTGTCTTGCCACCTTGAATGATTTATCCACATATATGCTCCTGCACCCAGTTTAAAACCGCACCCTTTATTTCGTATTGTGTCTGTGTCCTTCCTACTGAAATGCTCACCACACACTTCTCTATTAAATTTCATCTGCTATTTGGCTTCCCATTTTGCTACTTTCAACTTCAACACTATTTTCCTCTTACTTCACAATGTTCCAAATTTCATACAATTGTCAAATTTTGAAATTGTCTTCTATACTGCAAGGTCTACATATACAGCAGGAGGAATGGAGATCCTAAGAACAATTTGTGGAAAACTTGACCATTAACTGTCCTTCAGTCTGAAAAAGACAATGGTTAACTCCTACTGTTTCCTGTCAGTTAGCTAATTTTGTATCCATGTCACTACTATCCTATTAATTCCATGAGCCCTAACTTTGCTCACAAGTCTCTTACTTTAACCAAATACTTTAGGAAAATCCAGGTACACCAAATAGCTGTATAATTCACAGCAACCCTCTCAGCTATTTCAAAAAGAATTCAAGCAAAACATTTAAACACAAGGTTCCTTCATAAATCTGAGTTGGCTTGCCTTAGTTAATATAAATTTTGTCACCCCCACCCCCTGTCCAAGTGAATTTTGTCCTGAATTATTGTTTCTAAGAGCTTCCCCACCATGCAGGATGAAGTGACTGTTGTTCCAATTGTTTAGAAAAAAGGAGTACAATTTGAAAATTCTTTAGTTATCTGGTAGAAGCCAGAGTCTAAACGAAGATTAGAACATGATGCACAATGCCTCCGCAATTTCAACTCACTTCCCTCAATATCTTTGATGCATCTCATTAAGGGTGCCTTTTCAACTTTATATACAGTCTAATACCTTCTCCTTATCAATTTTAAATCAAGTATCTGAACTACTTCCTCTTGCAATAAAACCTTAGCAGCATTATTTTCATTGTTAAATTATTCATTTAATTTCATATTCTCAGCCATATTCCCTGTCTCCATGTAGAAATTTCCTATTTAGTCTCCAATTAGGCCCACTCTTTTTAATACTCTTACTATTCATTTGCCTTTTGGATTGCCTTTGAATGTTAGTTATCAGTTTCATTATATCTTCTAGGATTTGTTTTCTGTAACTTCCATTTTCATGGGAATATCTTGACTGTGTCTCAACACTCTCTTTCTTAACAACAAGATATTGTTTGATTATAGTTTGCCTCATAATCTTTTAATTCCAATTTATTAGAGCAAAGTCTGTACTCATCCAAATGAAGTTGAATTTCCCTCAGTTACTTATTTGGACTCTGGTTATTTTCCATAGCTAACCTAAATCTTATGATATAATTGTCACCACATCCTAAGTATCTTACCTGATCCACTTGGACCATTTCATTCCCAAGGACCAAACACAGCAATGTCTCTTTTTCCTCATTGTGTTTGAGTACAGTATATTTGAAAATTTATTGAGTATATTCTAAGAACTCTTGCTTCTCTCTGCCCTGTATTATTTTCCCAGAATATAATTATACAATTAAAGTCCCTCATTACTATTCCAATTCTTAGACTGTAAATTTGTTCTCCTACATCTTCCCACTACTTGATGGTCTTTAGACTACACCAAGCAATGTAAATGCACTGTATTTTGTTCCTTAGTTCTCCCATTTAGATTTTGTCCTTGACCATTCTGGGACATCATTTCTCACCAGCATTTCAATGTTCTTCTTAAATAATACTACTACCTCTGCCCCAATCTATCCTTTCCTATCTCCTAAACAGCTTGAGTCTAGGAATATCTAATATGCAGTCATTCTTTGAGCAGACACCCAAGCAGACACAGGGAGAGTCTGTGTGGAGATTGCACATTCACCCAATGCTGAATTTGAACCCATGTCCCTGGCACTGTGAGATAGTGATGTTAACCACTGAGTTACCATGCTACCCCATGAACACCTATGCTCTCTGTCCTAGTATTGTACTACAATATGGGCTTGATCCAATTTCTAAGCCAATAAATTTGATGTTAATATATTGCAAAAGATAGCTCAGTTTCTTTGAACTCCCCCCCAGTCTGTTGAATTTTGAATCTTTCCATTTTGCTCCGTGCATTTTAGATATTGCAAAATTGCATTTCACATATACAAATGCTTCAGGATCAAAGTGCAGAAAACTTTTCATTAAGTAAAATCAGGCTAGGAATCTCCCTGGAGTTTGTGAGTTTGGTGTAATAACTTATAGAAGAGCTTGCTGTCAAAGCCTGGTGGTGAAAAATAATGCACAAATAATGCAGCTATTGGTGTCTTCCACTGTGAAAACTGATGCAAAGTATTTATTCAGCTAGCCCCCTTATCCCTCCTTTTCTTTGTTCCCCATTTACTTCTTTTCTCTTTAGACCAGTGGTCTAAAGCGCACTCATGCTTCCATCCTATATTTTATATATATATTTTGTATTACTAGCTAGCTTACCCTCATTTCATAATCTCCTTGCTTATTGTGTTTTTAGCTGTCCTCTGCTGGTTTTTAAAAGGCTTCCCGATCCTCTGGCTACCCATTAATTTTCACCACATTGTATTCTTTTGCTTTTACATTGTCCCTGACTTCCCTCATCAGCCATGCTTACCTCATTCATTCCTTAGTAAGTTTCTTCTTCCTGGGGATGCATTTCCACTGTGCCTCCCAAAAAACTCCCAGAGAAACTCCTACCATTGCTGCTCCACTGACTTACCTTCCAATCAACTCTGGCCAGCTCCTCCCTCATATCTTTGTAGTTAACATTTCTCAGTTTGTAATACTGTTACATCTGATTTCAACTTCTCCCTCTCAAACTGCAGAGCGAATTCTATTATATTATGGTCACTGTCCCCGAGGGGTTCCTTCACCTTCAGCTCCCTAATCAAGTCTGCCTCATTAGACATCGCTAAATCCAGAACTACCTGTTCCCTAGTGGGCTGTATCACAGGCTGTTCCAAGAAACTGTCTCAGATTTCCCACAAATGCCTTTTCTTGAGATCTAATACCAACCTTGTTTTTCCAATCCTGCTACATATCAAAGTCTCCCAAGATTATTGAATTAGTGCCTTTCTAACATGCGTTTTCTATTTCCTGATTTATTATTTCCCCCACCTCCTGATTGCTGCTAGGAAGCATATACACAACTCCCAATGGGATCTTTTCTCCTCTGCAGTTCCTCAACTCTACCCATACAGATTTTATGTGTCTGACCCTAAATCAATGGCAAGAAGTGATAAAATTTCATCTCTTACTATTAAGGCAAACCCAACCCCTCTGCCTATCCTTTTGATAGGATGTGATATTTAGTTCCCAGCCCTAATTCCCTTGCAGCCATGTCTCTGTGATGCCCACAACATCATACCTGTCAATTTCAATCTGCATTACAAGTTCATTCATCTTCTTTCATATACTGCGCACATTTAAGTACAACACCCTCAGTCCTGCATTGACCATCCCCCTTCTCACAGTTTTCCCTTATCTGCTGTGCCTGAAGTTAGATTACTGACCTTTTCCATACTTTCTGTCCTATTACTTGTTCCAGAAACTTTAACCTCTGCTGAGCCCTCCTTCCCTTCATCTTTTCTCATAATTTTTCGTGCAACTAAACCCACCCCTTACTATTCAGATTAGAGTCCTATCTACAGCACCAGTTGTTTGATTTGCCAGCACTCTGGTCCCAGTATGACTCAGGTGGAGCCCGTCCCATTGGGACAGCTCGTCCCTTTCCCAGTACTGGTGTCAATGTCCTACGAATTCAAAACTGTTTCTCCCACACCAATCTTTGAGCTACATGTTTATCTCCTTAATCTTGTTGACAGTGAGCCAATTAGCTTGTGGCTTTATACCTTTTTGGTTCTGCTTTTTAAACTTAGCCCATGGCTGCTCATATTCCCTCAGCAGAATCTCTTTCTACTAGTACTGTCGATACCTATGTGGACCACGACAACTGGATCTTTCCCTTCCCACTCCAGGTTCCTCTGCAGCCCAGAGGAGATATCCCAAACCTGGGCACTAGGCAGGCAACATGGCTATCGGGACTCTCGATCCTGGCCACAGCAAAGAGTGTCTATTCCCCTGCCTGTACTATCTCCAGTTGCAACTGTATTTCTCATTCTTCCCCGCTCTTGATTAACTCCGTGTACCACAGAGCTCCAACCAGTTTGCTCATCCTCCGTACAGCACCCACTCTCATCCACACAGGGAATGAGAAACATAAACCTGTTAGACAAGTTCAAGGGTTGAGATTCCTTCAGCACTACCTCCTGGATCCCTTCTATCTGCCTCACTTGTAGCCGCCCCATCCTATTTCTGACTACTGACTGATTTCGAGGTAGTTTATCTGAGAGGTGTGAGTGCCTCCTGAAACACAGCATCCAGGTAACTCCACCCCCCCCAACCCCCTCCCACTTCCCCCCATGTGTCGCAGTGTTCAAAGCTCAGACTCTAGCTCATCAACTCTGAACTTCAAGCAACCAATACTTGCTATACATGTGGTCACTATGAGCCACAATGGGGTCCACTAACCCCTACATCATGTAGATACAACACATTGTCTGACCCAGCAGGTTTTTTATTTACTTAATTTGTTTCAAAAATGTCCTACTGATCTTTCAGATGCAATCTGTAAATATTTCTATTTACTTTCAATTTGAAAGTACCCAACAACGGGAACAAAAACAGAAGTTGCTGGAAAATCTCAGCAGATCTGGCAACATCAGTTCTGAGGAAGGGTCACCGGAATCCAGCATCGGCAGTTCTTACTATCTCTGTGTTTCACTGTAGATGTGTTCTCTCCTCGCTAACTGTGCAAAGCTTAATGATTGTGCTGTTTCAACAGGCCTTCTTTTAAATCCAGTTGAGACGACTCACACTAGTTAAGCTTCCATAGCAATCAACACCCATTGAGCCCTTGTTCAGGCTTTGGTTGATAGACTGATAACTGCCCTCCGTCAACTACTGTATTAACTTTTTGACTAGACCATTGAATTTTAAACTTAATTGAAATACAAATTGAGAGGCAGAACTTTGGGTTCTAAGCTATGTCCTCTTCAAATTGCTAACATTACCTCTCTATTGCAAGACAAGGAAACACATCAGAGGAAGACCATTATTTGAAATTACTGGTCCAGTTTAAATGAAAAATGACTGCAATTCAAGATCCTGATAACGTTTCAAACCATAGCCTATCCACAACACATAATCTATTCGAACCTAGCCTCTAATTTGAGAAAAGATTCGATATTCTAGTTGTAGTGATCACTTCTGAAACCTCCAGATGTGGGTTTTGTCTTGTATAAAAACAAAGAAGTAAACACTAAAAGCTCAGATGTAAATTATGGGTGCAGCAAGGCTTGCATTTATCATAACCTAAATGGCATGTGCAATCAGTATTCAATTTAAAGCATTACAGTGCAAAGGTAAAATACAGATCAGTTATCATAAACCAATAAGGCTGATCATAATCTAAACAGCCTGGAAAGAAACTGCTGGGATGAGATCAGCTGTTCATTTCATAACCTGTCCAATCTTATTATCCATGTAACATTAGGTGGACTATGAAAACGACAGCAAACTGTTACTGTCAATTTCCTACAGAGCAGGTTAGATTCAAATTATCCCCAATGCTAGAGGAACATTTTTATGTTCTTGTGTTTTCTAAATGTAGCACAAATGAACAACATGGATTATGTTCATTTGAAAATCACTGCTGGGTTACTTAATGCTAAACTAATACAGATGGTAGAGAATAATCTCCCAACACATCCTTTGCCTAATACAGAGTGATTGTGGCTCCTGCTCACATGATGACATCCAGGTGCTTGGCTCATCTCCATGTTGAGTCTCTTAAAGGAACATCACCCTGTCATATATCAACAACATCCCAGTGTAGAGCTGAAATCTTGTTCTCCAGAACTAGCCATATTCCTACAAATGATCAAAAACAGAAGTTGCTGGAAAAGCTCAGCAGGTTGGTCCAGGGGTATGATTCTTGCTTAGGGTGCAGCATTGTCATGCGAGAGGTCCCAGGTTCAACTCCTGGATGAACCCAGGTTTCTCGCTTCACTTGGGGTGGCACGGTGGCTCAGTGGTTAGCACTGCTGCCTTACAGCACTAGGAACCTGGGTTTGATTCCATCCCGGGGGGACTGTCTGTGTGGAGTTTGCACATTCTCCCCGTGTCTGTCTATATCCTCTGGGTGCTCTGGTTTCCTCCCACAGTCCAAAGATGTGCGGGCTAGGTGGATTGGCCATGCTAAATTGCCCATAGTGTTCAGGGATGTGTACATTAGATGGATTATAGGGGAATGGGCCTGGGTGGCATGCTCTGAGGGTGGACTTGTTGGGCCGAAGAGCCTGTTCCCACACTTTAGGGATTCTATGAGGTCTTTCAGCATCTGTGAAGAAAAATCAGAGTTAACGCTTTGGGTCCAGTGACCCTTCCTCTACACAAGATGGTTCAGTCCAGCTATAGCACTAGAGACTAGATGACAAAGTGGGGAATTGCCCATGTAAATCCTGTTTACAAAAAACAAAACACATCCATACAATTTAAACAATCACTGCCCTATCAGTTCATTCTCAATCATCAGCAAAGTGATAGAAAGCATTGTTATTAGAGCTTTCAAACAGCACTTTTTTTTTTAGCAATCATGCTCAATTTGTATTTTGTAAGGGTCACTCAATTTCAGATCTCATTACAGTCTTGATCCAAACATAAGCAAAGGAGCAGATATCTAAAGATAGGATGAGAACGGCTAGCATCAAGGAGCCCTGCAACCTCAGATACTGAAGCAACATGTGTTTGCATTCAATAATACTGGATTATGTTTCAGCTTGAGCTCGTAAGTGGAACATAATATTTGAACCACGTAAGTGCCAAGCAATGACCATTTCCAGCAAGAAAGTGTCTAACTACTTCCCCTTTACACTCATCGGTACAACCATAGCCGAATCTGTCAACATTAACATCCAGCAAGCTACATTCTCCCTATTTTTTGCTGCATGAATCTCTGAGGTCCATGTGTGATAGCGAATACCACATGCACTAGTCAATGTGTCAGCATGACAATCAGCATGCATCAGGCCTCCGAGTGGTTGCATAGCTTAGAGGGGAAGTTGCCCACAAGTCATCACAATTTAACCACAAATTTAACTTAACCAACCACATAGACACTGTGAAGATAAAAGCAATTGTGAGGCTGGGAGTTCTGCATAAATAACTCACTTTTTGACTTCCCAAAACCTGTCCACCATTTACAAGGCACAAGTGAGGAGCGTAATGAAAAATTCACCATTTATCCAGATAGATGAAGCTCCAGGAACTCTCAGGAAGAGCAACATAATCCAAAATAAAACAGTCTGCTTGATGGCAGATCACTTTAGCCATTCACTCACCCCAGCACTGGGCACGTTGGTAGCAGTATGTACCTTCTACAACGTGCACTGTTACAATTTGTAAAAAATCCTTTTGGCAAATGGTGTGTAGCATGTGAAAATTTTTCACTTTGGCAGGAAGTCTAGAAAAACAGTATATTTCTTAAATGGAGAGAGAATGCAGAACTCTGAAGTACAGAGTGTCTTAGGTGTCCTGGTTGAGCAAATGACTGGGAATACGTATATTGTCATCTATTGCAAGGATACATTATGATGTTTTGCTAAAGTTGTCTAGTTTGCTGGTGAAACCCTATCTGGAGTAATGTGTGGAGTTTTAGTCTCCTTTTTTAAGATAGGATATAAACACAACAAATGTAGTTTGGCTAATGTTTGATACAGGAGTGGAGTGATACCTTATGATGAAATATTGGACAGGCTAGGTCTGCTCATTATAGCTCAGAAGCATGAGATGACTTTATTGAGACATACAAGGTCCTGAGAGGATTTGGCAAGGTAGCTTTTGGAAGAGGTTAGATCTAGGGGACACAACTTTAAAACAAGCCATTTAAGGTGGAGATGAGGTATTTTATTTCTCTCATAGGGTCATGGTCTTTGGAACTCTCTTTCTAAGACAGCAGTGGAGGAAGGATTACTGAATATTTTAAAACAGAAGTAAATATCCTCACAGCTTTAATATGAATGTAAATAATTTACTTTCATGTTTTTTGTTGCGACCGGATTGAAGCTTTTATCCCACTGCATTTTCTAGAAAGTAAGCTTTGCACTTGTATTTAGTAACCAATAATTTATGTATAATTTATGCTTTTGAAATAAAAAAAGTAAGTCTATGACAATGTAGCTGCAAAACTAACAGATGTTGTTACATCAAGATGTCTGTTTAAACAAGAAACCAAATCTTGTTTATAAGTGTTATATAGACTAACATATAGAAAGCAACAAAGTGCATTACTAACTTTTTGATTCATGTATGTCCAAAACTCTTGATACTGTGCATCTTGCAGTCTCTCAATTAAAAAACTCTAGTTTACTATCCTTCCTGCCAAATTGGACAATCTCACATTTTCTCATGTTATGCTTCATCTGTCAATCTTTCTCCCACTCCCACCCATTAATATTCCTTTGCAGATTCCTTTTATTCTCACAATTTGCTTTCACAT